CAGTGTGATGCAACCGTTTGGGCAACCTTATTAATAGTCATTATTTTCCTGTATGAATCGCTGTTACAGTAAAAAATGTCACTTGCATATATCATATAGGAGATATGGGTAGCTACTGGTACACAAGTCGGGGCCTGATCACCCCTGGCTGGGTCGCCTGGGCGAGGGTGTAGGATGTTGTGAGACCCGAAACACCTGATGACCCCAGGATACATCACTGAAGATGCGTACCAGTGCATCCAGGAGATGTGTCTTTATAGTTAAACGTTATGTAGCACGATGTCTCCTTCCAACACAACTGCACAGTCTCACACAGACGTATCGGCATCGTCATCTTGCAGGATGGTGAGGATAACAACTGATGCACCGTTCAACACTGGTTCCAAAAACAATGTCAGTGTCCTGAAGAAAAGTAAAATATGAAGTATTGAGAGCCAAGAAAAACTAAGGACAAAATGCATTTCTAAAGATTTTAACTTTAACCTCTATACCATGATGGTCATTTGACTCATGGAGGTTTTAAAAGAAAAAGCTTATTTTCCTTTAATCAATGGCACAGTATCTTTCACCCACCAACCTTGTGATGAGTTTTGTACAAAAATATTTTCTTCTGGAACAACGCCCAGCTGCTCCTCAGCAGAAAAAAGCAGTGAGAGTTATGACAACTGCAATCCTCACCATAAAATTATCCAATCACACATCTGCTTACCTGCATAAAATTATCTGACAACTGCAATTTAACATTTACAGTTTGATGATTTAAAGTCTCACACACAAGCCGTTAGAAAGGGGAGGAGAGTCCTGCTGCTTCCAAGTAGACCACATTTCATTCATAATGTTGTAAATCCAAGCCTATTATGTATTCATGATTTGAATCCTGGGTTGTGCGAAATAAACCCTAGACAAAGTGAACTAAGGTGTAGGTTTATTAGGTTATGTTGTAGTGATCCCTGAGGCATAGGTGTTCATACTGGAGTGTAAAATTAAAACCAATGGAAGATGGACAAGAAAAGTTCAAAGCCATCATGTCTTCAGTTTAGAAAAAATAGAAAAGAAGAGGAAGAGAAACGAGCAAAAGATGCAGGTAAGCAGATGTGTGATTGGATAATGGCAGGTCATCCTGAAACAATCAGAATCAGAATACTTTATTGATCCTGAAGGAAATGATGTGGGTTACAGTTGCTCCAAGAAGAAATGGTAAAAATAGCAACAGTAACAGACTAAACTCCAAACATTATGTTACAGATTTTAATATTAATTAGT